AGGGTGTGTAGGGTTTGGATGATTTGCGGTCTTGCAAAGATTTTGTGTTATTTGCATGGATTTGGTGGATATTTGCATGGATTTTGTGCATATTTGCATGGATGTTGTGTATATTTGCATGGATATTGTGCATGTTTGCATGGATTTTGTCCGGCTTCTCAGGGCGCGTACGGTAGGCGTCCAGGGTTCTCCTGTGGGCTGCAGCGCCGACAACAACAACAAGAACACCAACAACACCACCGACCACCGCCACCACCACCACCACCACCAACAACAACAACAACGACAACGACAACGACAACAACAACAACAACAACAGCACCAACAGCAACAACAACACCAACAACACCAACAACACCACCAACAACAACAACAACACCTACCACCACCACCACCACCACCACCACCACCACCACCACCACCACCACCACCACCACCACCACCACTACCACCACCTACCACCTACCACCTACCACCTACCACCTACCACCTACCACCTACCACCTACCACCTACCACCTACCACCTACCACCTACCACCTACCACCACCACCACCGCCACCACCACCAACAACAACAACAACAGCAACAACAACGACAACAACAGCAGCAACAACAACATCAACAACAACAACAACAACAACAACAACAACAACCACCCCGGCGGCAGCAGCAGCAACAACAGAAACACCAACACCAACAGCAGCAACAAACACAGCAACAAGTACCCTCCTACACAACCTCGGCTAGTATTACACACACAGTTAGTACTGACTGGTAGAATGATGAAAACTACTGGCATGCCCAGGTATATTGATGAGCTCTTCGCGGTGCTTCGAAATGAAGATGCGAGGGGAGAGACGCCGCTCTCACAGGTGCCACTCCAGCTTCAAACATGTCACTACACTCCAAGTGTAGCGAAGGTGAGGGGCGAAGGCGCAGGCTGCGAGACTGCTGGCTTTGACAAGCGTGAGGTCTTTACCAACGACTTCTGGGGCAACCCTTTATGGGGCAAAAGCTGGACGCACAAGCCACTTGTCGCAATGTGCTGAGCGAGAAAGAAAGATCGACCAATGCATGCATGAGGGAGGGAGACCGGATTGAGCGAGAGAACTGGTCAGTCAGTCAGCGACCTCTCTGTCTCTGTATCTCTCTCTCCGCCAGGGTTTGTCTAGGCATCGGCGTGTGTGTGTGTGTGTATCTGTGTGTGTGTGTGTTCGAACATACATGTACAATCTAATCTAATAGTCACGTCTCTGCGTATGTGTGCAAGATTTTCTGTTCGTGGTGGTGCCCCAGCCTCCTTGTACGAACCTCAGCCAACAGCATTCAGATTCAATGCGACGCCCGGGTCCTGCTAAGGTCTTACCGGCCATTGGCAGTCCTGTCCTTCTCATGGCAGTTCAGCTGGCTTGGCGAGGCATACATTGCTTGATGATTTTCTCTTAGTCCCTGTCTGAATTCTAATTATGAAGTCCCCTGTTTTGTTTCTAGACTCTAGGACAAGCTTCCAAATTTATCCACATTTTGGTTTAGTTCTATCTGGCAAACAGGTCTTGTGTCCTGCCCTGTGTTTTTTGGCCGCCAAGACAAAGGAGTACATCGCGTATCCCGTGTTGATCCTGATAGAAAAATCCGCCTTGCTTTGCCCTTCTTCCTTGCGAGCAGGGTTGCAGCCACCTTTTCGGCAGGACCTGTTTCGACCGCAGCCTCTCCGTACCTTCAACGCCGCTCTTCACTTGGCCAACTCGCTTCTCGTTCTGCCCCTCGTCGAAGATGTTCAGACTCTTAGTGCCATCGCCTTGTTGCTTAGAGCCTGAACGCGTGCGTGTACATCATGCATGGCAGTTCGAAGCACACAGAAAATCTTTCAGGTTCATAAGATCGACTCTCCGGAGCCATTGTGCCTGTGCAGTTGTGCTTGCGTCCCAGGGCCCTTTTGCGCGAACTGGATCTCCATCGGCGGTGGAGCTGCATGGCCGCTGCACTCTTTGCGGCACATCCCGTCCATGTGCTCCGGCGGCATGGCTTTGGGTTCGGTGTTCGGGCGGGTGCGTGGTTTTGAGTCTGAGGGCTCGTGGATCAATTGTCGTTGATGCAACTGCGCCATACGCGGATGGTGACATTGGCCGGGATGCAGTCGAAGAGCCAGTAACTGTATAAAAAGCTCTACAAATGATGGAGTTTATGCCTCTGGAGCGTCCACCTTTCATGCTTGTGAATGTGTAACTTGAGTTCAGGTTCGAGGTTGCATTCGTTAAACAACTGACTTCGCCTTCGTGGTGAGAGCTTTTGTTCCTTGGTTGACACGCCTCCTCAACCGAATTAAGCCCAAAACCCTATAAACCCCTACATTATCCTCAAGCCAACCGAAGCCGACTTCCTCAGGTCCAAACCCTACAGCCCTGAACCCTCAACGGTGTTGTACTATGGCAAGGTGGAGAACATCGTGTACCTCGTGGGTCGCAGCGGCCTCAGAGATCCCAGGCTACTCCGGGACAGCGCTAGAGAGGCATGGGAGAATAGCAAATGACAGCTGCAGTAACTATAGCAGTATAGCATATACAGTATGTAGTATAGTATAGTAGTTCTCGGCACTGGGTAGTAATGTTAGCATCAATGCTTGTACTCCTAATTCTGATCAAGACTGGTCGCAATGTGTTCGGAGGATCTTCTCGCGTCAGTCCAAGCCGAATCCAGCCCTGAACCTGAAACTCGAAACCCCAGACCTGAACTCGCCGACATCTTGAGTGCCGTCCTCCCTAAACTTCTAAACCCGTGTCTGAGGTTGCGGCGGGATTGGGGTTCAAGGATTTGGAAGGATTTTGGAGTTAGGGTGTAGCGTTTTTGAGTATCTTGCATCTTGCATCTTGCATCTCACTTTAGCCCGCTTCCCCGAACAAGAATGCTGGGCAAGGGGGCGAGGGTGGGTTGCGCGATACCCCTAACAGATGTTAGCAGGTCGTTGGTTAGTATCCATGTAAGGCCTAGGGACTTGATGTTTGGGTGTTTGAGAGCCAATCGCTTTAGGTGATGCTTTGGAGTTTCGTAAGGAGTCGGGGGTTCGTCATTGTGGACTTGAGGTGTTGGGAGTTTAGGGTGGCAGAAGCACAGACTACGACGAACTGGCCGTGCTTAAATTCCCTGTTTCGAGAATACGTGTCGGGGGTTAGGAGGTCTATTTGGGTTAGGGAATGGTTTCGAGTTTATTTGCTTGGGTTTGGGGTCACCGCAAGACCCTGACATGTGTCCAAAATCCATGCCGGACGATCTGGCGGGAGTGCGATTCATCACCCATCAAAGTAGTGGATTTTAGAGAGCTCAGTGTGGTCCCGGCAGTCGGGGCCGAGCGGGACTGCGGAAAGAATTGCATCTGTAGTCCAAAACGTGCACCGCCGCAGCGGGAGCTGCGCACCCGCCGAGCACGCCTCACGTGGACATGATAGAACCCTAGTTTCGCTGAACGTCAACGTATGCAAAATAGTTTCCCATACTGTTCGGAGTCTGGCCTCAGCCCTAAACCTGAGAACTCCCGAGAGCAGATCTATGTCTATGTAGGTGCAGATGCTCTTGCCACTTTTGGATGGCTTCTGGCTGCCATTGCCCAGATCCGCGCGAGACGCGCGTGGCAGGCTGGTGCGTTAGCACACAGGGCTCGACGATCTGGAAGCTTTTGGGTGTTGGCCTTGCAAGGCTCCTGTGGCCTAGAGGCAAGCATTCTCACAGCATCAGGATAAGATGTTTGCCCGGGACCAAGTCGCACCTCGAGAAAGAGCCAGCTTGGCAGGCTTCCGAGAAGCCACCGCGCTTGGCCTGCGCGCTGCTGGTGCCGCCTGAGATGGGGCAAGCATGGGATATTACGATAGAGGCACTGTACCACTACCAAGACTGGCGGGAATAATCACGATCATCAAAATGATGACGCAGAGCAACAAACAACAAGTCATAGCAAGCAAGACAAACATAGCACGAGCAATAGATAACAGGGATACTCATTGTAGTAGATCACACTATGCACAGCTCGTGGACATGTTTTGATTCCATAGCCCCTGCATCGCGGCTGCGACGGGTGGTCACATGTGGTCACATTGACAGTTGGGAGTAGCTCGTTGTGTCCCAGGTCTTTCGTGCCTAACTTGCGCCTACCATCATCATCAGCATCATCGTCATAATCATCGTCATCATCATCATCAACAAAATTGGTTATTCTGCATTTCATCTTCCTCAACACGATCATTAAAATCGTGATCAGCATCCAAGTCATCGCGGAAATCACTATCGTTATCACTATCGTTTTGAAGCAGCATCCTCAATGGTCAGTCAGAAGCAGCAAGCATCAGCATGCGTGTAGTTGTGACCCCTCGGACAATGAGACGCAGCACAGCACTGAAAATCAGACCGGAGGTCATGCTTTGCGGCCTCTTGGCCACAGTGTCCTGCCTCTGCAAGGACATGGTCAAAGGGAGTTTGGTTGGGGCATACCGGCTCATGGCTTCTTGGGAGTTTGTAGGCGCCTCCTGGTCACCCTGGCAGGAGATGGGAATTACGCCCGAAGCCTAGCAGCTTGCCGTGTCACACTGTATAATCCTCAAGGCGTGCCTTGAAGCACTATCTGCTGATTGTTTTTTTTCGGGGGCAGCTTCTCTTGGTGTCTTAGGGAGCCGTCGGCTAAGTAGCTAAATTCAGGTTTGCGTGCTTCAAGTCTACGAGGCAATCTGAGAGTTATACATGCTGCACCGGTGCGTGCATGTCCAAGGCTCCTGGTGTTCACCGCCGGACTGGAGCTAGTTAGCAGTGCGCTGAGACACGCCTGCCTCAGGGTAGCGAGCAGTGTCTGGGGGGTTCTCATAGCCAGATGATGCAAAGAAGTACCCTTCGAAAGGGTTTCGGCATGGCCAGGCTTTTCATGTTGCAGGCCACCAACAGAAGACGGTGAGGTTGGATCGGTTCAGGGATCTGATGGCGTACGTCTCAGGCTCCAGGCTCTGACTTGGCGAGACCTGTAGCTCAGTCAGCCTCCAAACTCTATTCAAGCACCAACCAGCGGAACACCAAAACCACCACCGCCATCAGTACTATCGTATGGCGGTAACCCTCGGAATTGCTCTTCAGAGGGGTGTGACATGGATGGCTGCTCTCAATCTCTCTCTCCTTTTCCCTCCCTCTCTCCAGCTTGAAATGTTACCCTCTCGTGAATCTGCGGCTCTATAGGAATCTATAGTCTATAGTCATCCAACTCGCGTATATCATTTGAAGGGTGCTCCGGTCTTTGAGCTGTTAGGGTTTCAGGCTTGGGTTACGCTTCCTGAGGGTGAAGTTCCATGCCAGATGAGGATGCGTCCGTGTGCGACTTCACGAAAACTCGAGATACACCCATTGCAGATTAGGCCTGAACTATCACGTTCCTTTTTCCTTCCATACGACAGATTCCCGAGACGAGAGTGGCTTCCCATATTCTCAGGTTGCAAACCCCGCCAGCGATGCCTGGCCACAGGCAGCCGCTTGGGGTTCACTTTGCACTCCTCTTTGTAGTACTGATGGCAGATGCGTGCTTGTAACACTAAGCTATCTACAGAATCGCTGCTCCTGGCCGTTCATGCCAACACCCACTCGCAGTATGGAGTTGCTGTTGTGCTCTGTCGAAGAGTGGTGGCATAATAGTTGGCATAGTGCAGCAGCAAGTGCCATTGTCGCACAGTGCTCATCGCAGCACCGTCGCCAGGCGCGCTGCCTTTGGCCGTTGCCTCACTGCTTCTCTTTGCCGTCTTGGCCTCCCTCCGCTTCATGATGACGCAGGCTGGGGTTCAGTGCCTTTCGATGTGTGTTTCGTCCCGTCTGTGACTTGTGCTGGAACGATGTCGGTCGTCGAGGAGCCGAAGCATCGGACGTACTTGTCTGTTTGTATCTTCAGGTTTGAGATTGCGTCAAAAGGACATGCTTTGAGGCAAGAAGCAGCCGTATCATCTTCGCAGAGAGGCTCAACAGGGCGAAAAGCCGTCGCTGGAGACCATGTTTTCGACATTGAGGTCACATCACTGCATCTTGCTATCGCTGTCGCAGGATCCTAGTTAGTCCAATCCCCTTGTAGTGACGTATAGCATCGACGTAAGAACCATCCGATGGCTACACTGCTCTCTGCAGCAGCTCCGCGGAGCGAGGTCAAGGACCAAGTACCACGGGCCCCCATCTTGAACAAGGACCTGATGTTGAGAGTCTGGAAGGTCTGCCGATGTGAGATGCACGATGCGGTGGTGGGGCTCGCGGTCGTGGATCGCCCGCCCCGACCCACAGAGCTCCGGAGCAAGTTTCAGGGAAGTTTCGGTTCGAGTACACGTGACCCTGATATTCACTTCACAGCCACTCCAGGCCATCTACGCCTGTGTGAAGTTTAAGACCGTGTGGGTACGGATGATGTTTGAAGTTCTGCCGGACCTACAGCTTGTACAGCTCGACCAGTGAAGGACGTGGCACGGCTGCCTCGGGTATGTAGAATCAGCAGCAGCGTTTGAAGAAAAGGGGTATGGCTCTTCGATCTGGCCCCACATCTCAGACGTTGCAGTCTGTCCTCGGCTGACAAGTGCAGCCCGTTGCGCCCAGCACAGGATCTGAAGATGCCACAAGAAAATGGAAGTGCGCAGTTGATACCACATCAAGTAAAGACTGAAATATTTACCTTTCTATCTATCTAACTATCCATCTGTCTACCTGTCGATCTGCCTATCTATCTATCTATCCATCTATCTATCTAGCGCTCGATCTGTGTATCTCTATGAGTATTTGTATTTATGTATGTGGTCTGTTTGTCTGTCTGTATGTCTGTCTCTCGCTCGCTCGCTCTCTCTCTCTCTCTCTCTCTGTCTCTCTTTCTCCCTTCTCGCTCCCTCTCCATCTATCGATCCATCGATCTATAAATATATATATATATATATATCTATATATATATATATCTCTCTCTCTCTCTCTCTATCTAGCTGTCTTTCTATCGATTTAAGTCTCTCTCACTCTCCCTCCCTCCCTCCCTCCCTCCCTCCCTCGCTCGCTCGCTCGCTCGCTCGCTCGCTTTCTATCTGTCTCTGTCTATAATATATATATATATATAAATATATATATATATATATATATAAATATATATATATATATCATTATTATATTATGTTAGATTATATTATATTAAAGAGTGTATTGTACTGTGTTTCATTCTATTCTGTTATGATATATCATGTTATATTACATCATCTTATGCCATATTTTACTATTTCATAAAATATTGTAATATATATATATATGCTATTTTACTATCATACTATGTTGTGTGTGAGTGCGTATTCGCATATCATCTGGGGTCTTATGCTACTATGTGTACCTATCATGGTTTACACACACACGCATACATACATATAAATACATAATACATATATATTTATATATATATATATATGTTTAAATACATACTTACATATGTATGTACGTATGTACGTATGTATGTATGTATGTATGCATGCATGCACAGCCCTCGTGCAAGAAATGCTTCCTTCACAGCAGAGCATTGGCCGCTCCTGTTGTATCATGAGCGCCCGATGCATTCTGCCCTTTCCCTTGATAGAGCTGTGTCCCCTCGTCCTATACGAGGGCTCAGCACAAGAGCCGAAGAAAAGTCATGTCCAAAGTCTGCATCCGTTCCTAGATTCTTGCAGCTGCTCTGAACAATGAGTGGCCTCAGATTGTTGGGCGCCGATTGCATCAGGATCCTCCGAGAAGACGTGACCCGAACAGCATCGGGTTTAAATCTACACAACCTGTGTGTATAGATGTATACGTATACACAGGCATACATACATCGGTGTATGTATATATATATATATATATGTATACATGAATATATATATATATAGAGAGAGAGAGATGTATATATATATATATATGTATACACATGAAAATATATGTGTGTACACGCACATGCATGCATACATGTGCCGTTCGTCAAGCCTTTGAGTGTTCCCTCGCACGGATGCTCGGTAGAAAGGCTCAGAGTGGAGCATGCATCAGGTCGCAAGTCGGCAAGTCATGTTTGCAAGGGCCGACAGCGAAGCTGGATACCCCGAGACTACAAAGCCCCCGAGCGGGAGTCAGCCGGAGGACGCAGCCCCTTCAAATTGCGTCCCCGTGCGTTTAGGGTTCAATCAGGCTTTGCCTCCACGTCTCATTGAAGTCTAAAGGAAAGACCGGATCCACCTTGGTGGGAACCAACAAATCCTTCCCTATTGACTTTTCCAGGGCTCAAGCGCTGCCTTCGGCTTCGTGGATACCCCTGCCGCGGCCCCAGAATGCAACAGCCGTGATCTTCAGGCCGACTCTATACGCAATATGTGTATATATATATATATATGTATATATACATGTCCGGGAAATGAGTACAAGTATGAAGACAGTGAACAGGGGTACATGTGTATACATTTATGTACATGTGTATGTATGTATGTATGTATGTATGTATGTATGTATGTATGTATGTATGTATCCTGTTTAATACATACATATATATATATATATGTAGATGTGTATATACAGATATATGTATGTATATACATGTTTTAAGTGCGTGCGCAATACCAGCCGTAAATAATTACTGTATCAGTGGGGTTTATAGCGCATGATTCGGACTTCTGCTTGAAACAAAAAACCCGCCTAAACCGAGGTTCAATATCACGACAACTGGCAGGTGCGAGCTTGGAGCCGCGCTGGCAGGAGCTTAAAACAAGAGATCAGAGGGGGAGAAAGGGGGTTTAGTGCTTTGGAGGTTTAGCATTCGGGGGTTTTGGGTTCGGGGGTTTAGGGTTTAGGGTTGGTTAGCGTTACGGTGAGATGTCTTCATGAAAATGGGATTAAGGGCCGATGCAGGTTGCTTTATACGGGGCTTTAATGGATTATAGGTGGTCTGATATTCTTTTCGTTGGACCGTTCAATTCAATATTGTTTAAGTTATGCTTACACGTTTCTGGACGTTGAGAGGCTTGTGGCTATGGGGGGTCTCTGAATGTTGGGGCTTTGGAGGCTGAGTGAGTTTGGGATTGAGATACTGATCGGTGCCGTTGTGGCCGCAGCGCATCGGCGCAGGGGTGTGCTGGGGCACCGTGCTGATTGTTTTGTGGTGCGTGCATCAAACACTGAGATCGTTGCTTACAAATTCGCTTGGCCAAGTTGACATGCTTCGGCAGCACATGTCCTGAGTCTGTTTCAGACACGCTCGATAGCCGCTGGCCGAACGGACACAAGCGGATCACGACTGCCGAAGGACTTTCGGATCGCACGAGCCTTCGGCCCCCAATCCCAGAGCCGGACAACCTGAACCCCCGACAGCCTGCCGAGCTCTTGAAATTTATGCCACATCATCAAATGACCCCCTAGCTTCCCAAAAGTCGCGTAGGTGTCAGGGCATTAGTAGGATTTGCCGGCGTGTACCGCTTGCTTGTCTTTGCCAGGAAAGAGTGCGAAATAGGCGCATTTTACGTGTGCATTTGAACATCGCAATTCCTGTCACCACCTTGGTCTGTACGAAGCCACTAAGCCTTACTTGGGTGGTATTCCGACCTTCTCAAGATGATTGTCAGTACGGTCACATTATGACATTATGGCCATAGTCATAGTTGCGAGGGTTTTTTATGCGCAGTACTTGCCATCATTGCCAGAACTTTCAGAAAAGTATATAAGCACAAACCTGATGCCCACAAGCTCCATGGGCAGCAGTCTGCAACCATCACGTCCACAAAGCATCGTTCGGCTATATCCTGTCGCCGAACAACATTAAGCAAAGGTTGGGTTGCTTTTACGTGGCCGGATGTTTGTCTTTATACCTGTGCAGATTGCGGGGTCATCCTTGGCCAGGCTACCTCTTCCAGCACTCTTACTACGGCAAGCTGCTGGTTCTTCCTGGCGCTCTGTCCTGGGCCAGCTGCTCATAATACACATGCCGACACGCAGACAGGCGTGCGCGCGCTCTTCTCGCTCCATCTCCCTCGCTCGCTGTCTCGCTCTCTCTCTCTCTCTCTCCCTCTCCGTCTCTCTCTCTCTTTCTCCTTGTCTCTCTCTGTCTCTCTCTATCTTTTTATCTCTCTCTCTCTCTTTTTATCTCTCTCTCTCTCTCTCTCTCTTTCTATCTCTCTCTCTCTATCTCTCTCTCTCTCTCTCTGTCTCTCTCTCTGTCTGTCTGTCTCTTTCTCTATCTCTCTCTCTTTCTATCTCTCTCTCTCTCTCTCTCTCTTTC